GGCCGGCTGGGAGGGGCAGTCTCTCCCCAGCTAGGAAGGGCTTAGGATGGCAAAACTTTATAATATGCAGGAAATAAAATCTATGCAATACACCCCCTTTGCAAAATCCTGCTCTCCAGATGCCCAGGACCCTTTCACGTCCAGACTGAATTATACACAGACCTTGTACTCCCTGGTTGAGCCCTAATGAAGCCCCACTGACACCCTGCGTTTCCTCTAGAGCGTTCTGCCACCTTCCGTGCACAGACCAGTCCCTTGGACCCCTTGCTGCCTTGGCACGTGTGCCACCCCCACTGTGTACCCTGCATAACAGTGCTTAGTGTGGGCCGCTACGTACCAATGTTCCTGTTGATGGTTTTCTCACCTGAGTCGCTTTCACATTACAGATCGTGGCAAGGTGATTGGTGGCTTACCTGATGTGGTGACCATAATGGAAGGCAAGGTAAGCACAGCAGGACACCTGGTTAGCTTGGCAAGGGCTCAGCAGAGCGCGCAGCCTGCATCGTGGGGCCGAGTGCGGGGCGCTGGGGAGTGGGTGCACGTCCCTCATCCCCACCCACATCCTGCTGTCCTGGGCTGCCTCTGGTAAGCCTGTGTTATCAAAGGATAGAGCGTTTAACACCTTTCTGACCGTGGGGCACGGGGCATGACTCAGGCAGTGCACAGCAGGTGTGTGGCAGTGACTGCAGCCAGGCGTGGCTGTCCCCCTGGTCCTGGGTCCTTTCAGGGTGTAACTGGACAAGGAGCGGGGGCCACACCACACCCCTGGCTGCACCGCCTCATGTGGACGTGGTTACCACCCTCCTCAAGTGGGAAATTAAAAAGAAATCTCTCTCCAGCCTTCAAGGCCACTTTGCAATAGGTACTGGAAGCCATTTGCTGGAGGTTTGACTTGTCACCGGGCAGTGGAACTACTGATCTCTATTCGGTACACGTATGGGTGCTTCAGGGCTTCTGTCTCAGTGCCACAGGGATCTGGGTAGTGGAGGGAATTTTATTAGGCCAAAGCACAAAAGTTTTGAGGCCTTTTCTTTAGCAGCTAAAGACAGTCTCGAGCTGAGGCTGAGCAGTCACGGAGCTCTTGCTAGAGACGTCACTGGGAACCTACTGGCAGTTTTCCTCGGCCGCTGGCTGAGAGCAGGTTTAACCAAGGGTCAGGATGCGTAGCCGCATCCAACTCACTGTGAGACACTGTCCCCTGGGTCTGCCAGAGGAGCCGGGATGGTGGGCCCATAAGTCCGAGTAGAAAGGAAACTGAGAAACAGGCTAAACAGATCTACTGTAAAACACAGAGCTAGCTTACCGTCACATTCTTTAATCAGCTTAGGCCATGGATTAAAATGGAGAGCTAATAGAAAAAGTTCCCCCTGACTCTCCCCACGAGCTGCCCCAGGAAACCGTGAACTTGTCTGCCTGCTGCGCTTTCTGGTCCCTGGGGTCTGGCCTGGCGCTTCCCTATGTAAAGAGCATGCTGACTAAATGAAAGTAGTGCAGGACTGATAACACAGCTGAGTGTGGCGGAGGGCGGTGCACTCAGAGGCCGCCTGACCTTGCTCTGTCACTCTCCCTTCCCTCCTGAAGACCTTGAACCTGACCTGCATGGTGTTCGGGAACCCCGACCCCGAGGTGGTGTGGTTCAAGAACGACAAGGACATCGAGCTGAACGAGCATTTCGCAGTCAAGGTGGAGCAGTCCAAGCACGTCAGCATGACCATCAAGGACGTGACCTCCGAGGACTCGGGCAAGTACAGCATCAACGTCAAGAACAAGTACGGCGGCGAGAAGATCGACGTCACCGTCAGCGTGTACAAGCACGGGGAGAAGATCCCAGACACGGTGCTGCCCCAGCAGGCCAAGCCCAAGCTCATCCCGGCGTCCACCTCCACAGCCGCCGAGTAGGGAGCCGGTGCCGGGAGGCGGAAAACGCCCACCGCGTGGGAGTGCCGTGTGCGGGTGCTGAGTGATTTCACGTGTGGCCGGATAGCAGCTCCTATGTTACGCTTTTAACTTTGGCATTTGGTCAGTGTTAGTTTATGTCCATCAGGGGGAACGTGAAAGGGTTGTGTGCCGAGCCCCTGTCCACGCTGGTGGCTGGACTCTGGTGTGACCAGATCTAGCGGCTCTCTGACATCCTGGTTGGGGAGCCTTTTACACCGGTGTTACCTGGTCACACTGTATTTTTTTCTTGCTTCAAGCTAATAAAACGTTAAGAGGCAGCTTGTCGTGGCTCTGTACCAAATTGTACCTCACGACACCTGCTTGCTTCTGTACAATTATGGATTATCAGGAGGTTCACAGCTGGTTGCCTTCCAATCCGGAGAGCCTGGAGGTAAATCCACTTGCTGCAGATCCCCCTCCAACAGCTGTACCCCTCAGGGCTTGGTGACAAGGTGACAGAACCTGGCCAGGAGAGGTACCCACAAAATCACAGTTCTTAAGAAGGTGACACCTTGTGCAGGCTTAGAAATGCTAAGTGGTTATCATATCAAGGGTCCAAAAGTCTCTGCGGAGGGAAATGAGATGCAAACATAGATAGCTGTGTTCTTTTTAAGTGTGTTAATGAATTAGTAGGGATTTGAAAAAGAAAGAAAACACTCACTTGAAGTGATCACTGCAGGAACTACGGAGGAAAAATTAAAACTTGGCTGACTATCAAAGGTGTCTTGGTGAAGATAAAAAAAAAAAGTATCTTGAAACTTTTTCTTCCTTTTTTGGAAAGAGGCTGAAATTCCTCTGGCATAAAAATCCTATCTCAGTATTTTAGTTTTATATTAAACATATGGCTACATAACAGAAAAAGCTTTGATAGTTCAGAATAGGTAGTTTCTGTATCATTAAGGCCAATTCCAACTCCACGGTATTGTGCTATATTTTCCTAAGGTAATAAAAGAAATCCTGAAACTTAAATATGCCTCTAATGACACAAGCCAGCGGAGCAGGTTTCCACAGCAGGTACAGTGAGTGTCAGCAGGAGTTTTTACAAAGACCTCATCTTCTCTGTTGCACAGCGAGCGTTAGCTGAGCCTGTGATCTCTGCAGAGCGGCGCAGTTTCCAGAAACATCCTTGACTAAGGAGGGCACAGATCTGACCTTTATTTAGTTAAGCAAAAATAATTTTCCAGTGTAAATAGTCACTTTGTTTAGCAGTTGTGGTTCATGGGAAATAATTAAATGGTTTTGAATTTCTTCAAGCCAAGTAGATTTTATTTTTAGAGCACTTTTAGGTTCAGAGCAAAATTGCGAGGAAGGACAGAATTCTCACACACCCCCTGTCTCCCCCCCAACACATACATACACAGCCTTCCTGCCATCAACAGCCCCCCAGATGGGACATTTGTGACAGCTGATGAGCCTGCACTGCACATCACCGTCACCATCACCGTCACCCAGAGTCCACAGTTCACCTCAGGTCACTCTTGGTGTAGCTCCTTCTGTGGGTTTGGACAGATGTGTAATGACCTGTACCCATCACAGTGTCACACAGAGGGGTCTCCCTGCCCTAAACGTTCCCTGTGCTCCCCTGTTCACCCCTCCCCACAACCCCTGACAACCTCTGATCTGTTACTGTCTCCATAGTTTTGACTTACAATGTTTTAGAAATAAGTCCCCTACTTTTGAGCCACCTTCGAACAGCTGCAGAGACAGAGCAGAGCTTGTGTGGTCCTCATCCAGATGCCCCACTGCTGGCGGCACGCGTCCTCACGGTACGTGTGTCAAAACTAAAGCACTGCATTAGCTCAACAAAAGACAGCATCTGGTGTCACTGGCGGTCCCGTCGTGCCTGCCTTCTGACCCATGACCCCACCCAGGACACCCTATCTCATTCAGCTGTCACCCTCCCAGTCTCCTCTGGTCTGTGACAGTGCCTGTCCTTGTTTTTCATGACCTTGATGTGTTTGAGGAGAACACCTAGCTGTTCTCCAGTCTGGGTTTGTCTGATGTTTCCTCAGGCTTAGACTGGGGGCATGGGCTTTTGGGGAGACCCCGGGTGGGGGGGTGCCCTTGTCATCACTCGTGTCAGAGGTACCTGACATCCCCAATCACCGGGCGTCACTTGTGTGATGGTGTCGGCCAGGTTTGTCACTGTAGTGAGCGATTCCCTCTTCTGTTCTTCGGAAGCAGTTCATTTAGCGCACTCCCCCACCCCCAAGGGAGGGGTGTGGACTCAGCCCTGCCTCTTGGGGGAGGGACAATCTACAGAAATTATTTGGGGTTCATCTGTAAGAAAGATTTGTCCCCCCGCCTGCATGTATTTTTTCGGTCGCTTGTTTATGTCAGTGTGGACTGGTGGGCATAGTGTATACTTGGCTTAGCATCCCGCACTGTGCGGCGTGTTTTGTTGTCCAGTTGCTGCCGCTTTGGCCCCTGGACGCCCCTTTGGCTCCTGGTCCTTCGCTTTTGAACAGTCGCCACCAGGCATGCCAGGCTCGCCTCCCACTGTCCCTGTCCTAGACGTGGCCATTTCTCCAAGGACCCCGGTTCCTTTCAATGGAGAACGGGGTTTAGAAACCGAGGCTTGGGCGCGGGCTGTCATTTAATATTTTCGCCTGCACCTCGTGCTTCTGGACTTCTGCAAACGTGTCAGGATGTAGGGAATGCCGGCTGGCCCCTAGGGGGCCTGGGCTCTTTCTGAGACCAGGGCTGAGGCACCGCTGCCTGCGGTGTTTCTTTATAAGCATTTGCTCCCTTCTCATCACCTTGGGAGCACACCTTATTTGTTAGAAAAAGAACTCTGCCCGGATGCCCTCCCGACGCCAGCTTCTCCACGGCTTTCTGTTGAAGCTCAGGGAACGCTGGCCGTCTGGTGGGAGCTTTATGTGATTTTCTTTGTTTCCGACGCAGTTTCAGCCCCTGCCAGGCTGCACACTCAGTTGAGTTCCCTCCAGTTCCTGCTTGGAGTGATAATTGTGCCCTTGGAGGTAATGACCCTCAGCCTTAAAGAAGTTCCCGGTTCTCCTCTGAAGGAACGTGGAGAGGAGCCCCAGGCGCTGGGAGAGCGGGTGGGGACCCGGGCCTGCGGCCAAACAGGTCCATCCGTGGGGCGCAAACCCATCACTCAGGGAGTGGAAAGTCACGAAAGACATCACAGCTACCCCCGGGGACCCTTGTCCGGCCAACGAGTGTACCCAGGCGCTGGCAGCTCATTTCGAAGGCAGTAATATAGCCTCTTAATCTTCGTGTGATACTTGTTGGAGGGAATAAAACAGACCTTGCGAGATGTTACAGGCTCTTATTACATCAGTGAACTCATAAAACCATGAGATCGATCTATACATGAGTCTGGGGTATGAATTTTAAATGTTCCACGTTCCCAAGAGCCCTGCCAGGCGTAGCCGGC